ATGCTGACTGTTTGACGAACTGATCAATTTAAAAAATTCAGGTTCTAAAAATTCAAACTGTACAAAATGCAGCACCTCGTATTTGCATGGTAGTGAAATTCAGGTCATAGAAATTCAGATTACAAACAGAGCCAGTTTCTCCTGTTATATAAAAAATGAATGTAAAATGCTAGATGATGCCTGCAAGCAAGCCTTTAATGAATGGGGGTGAATAGAGCTAAATGGCTAAAAATGAAATATTAAACTTGTTTCTGCCCTTTTGTGTGGAACCTTCCTTTAATCTTGGAAACTAGTAGAATGAGTTCTATGAAAAAAATGAAATAAAACTTTATATTTTTCTACAGCAAAGAGATTTTGGGCAGTAGGATGCTAGCTAGTACTGAGTCCTGCTTGGTTAGCTCATTGACTGAGGCAGTTTGTGCTCACTGACGTCATGAACGTACATAAGGCACCAATTATAAAGTTATATAACGAGTTAAAAAGTGATCAAAAATATAACTGCAGTGTCGAAATATTTCATGCTGTTCTGCATTCCAAAATAGGTGTGTATATATATATATATATATATATATATATATATAAGCGTTTACAAACTGATTTTGCACAAAAGCTCTACAGGAACCCATTACATTTGGACTTGCTTGGGGGCACCCTCTAGTGTTTGACAAACCCGGAAGACATTACTGATTGAACTGACGTAGTGGACACACAACCTGGTCACTTTACAAAACAGCTCTGTTTACAAGACCTCTCCCTGTACCCCAAAGCTAATAGCTTTGGTGCCACAGTTTAGGTTACTACCATAAAACTTGGTTAAGAACACTCGCAAATGTTATGGTTTACAGCTCATGCCAAGAACCAGGCCCTGACCTCCAGGGGAGCCTACCTCCTATCCCAAAAACAACGGGCAATAAAAAACTCTCTGGAGACAGCTGTGTGACTCTTTACCAAAACTTAATAGAAAATCACATTTCTAAGACTCTTATCCACTCCAAATGTTGATCACTCATCCTGGTTCACCACCAGAAGTCCGGACATACTAAAATCAAGGTTGTGCTCCACAGCAGAATTAGATTTTAGGCAAAAATAAAATAATCCTCCTTTGCAATAAAATAAAGCTTTGCTGAACGTGCTAACACAGTTTTAACAGTAAATGGTCTTAAATGCTGGAGTTAATGTACATCTGCTAATTTACCAGACTTTAACCCTACAGACTGGAGCACAGACTGCTGGTCACCATAGCAACACAGCCAATGATCTCACCTAGCTAGTAGCTAATGAAAAGGCAAGGAGAAAGATTTAAGACGAACATCGATAATTTAGGGACTATTTGCATTTATAAGCACTCCAGCTGGTTTTCTGATACATTCATTCTGCACTGAGAAACTCAAATTTTCTCGTTCCACCTCAGATGGTGCAGCAGTTACGTTCTGATGCCTCAGGCACCATTTACAATGGAACAGGAAAATTTGAACAAGAAGCTGGCAAATGAGAAGCTGACTTAAGCCTTGTAAAAAAATTGAACAGACATTTTACAAGAAACTATTCTGCTTTTGCGGAAAAGCTTCGTGCTGGAGATGCGAGAATAGCAACCATAGCTGAGCTAAAGCTTGAAGCAGAGCAAAGTAAGTCTGTGTTTTTGATTACATTAGATTTTTAGCCTAACGTTATACTAGTACATCAGCACATACTGAGACATATTTACAACCAAGATGGTAAAATGGACATAACATGTCGTGGCTCCCAAGGTAGTTTGATTTTTGTTGAAATGACAAAATGGCTCTTCTTAACATTTGGGATTGCTGTCCACTGACCTAGATACTATATTTGGTGCATGTTTATGTCTTTTATTATGTGTGTTGGTTCCAGATACCATGGGTTCAAAGTGCTTGTTAAGAAACAAACAAATGTTGTTTGTGTGTTTCCTTAGTTCTACAAGTTTCCAAGGAATGATTCGAACCATTATGGTACTTGAAATTCATTTCATTTATTCAATCATTGTGAATCAGATTTGACCAAAACTTAGAAAGATTTAATTCATGTGGAAGATGTGCTTATAGACTGTGTACCACTAATCGGTATTGGAGACGGTGAGTCTCTATGTGAGAAAGACCAATCAGCGCTCTGGCTTTACCACAAGAGGGGATGGTCTATGGCCAGAGAAAACCCAAGCACAAAAGCAGAGAAAAAAGGACCATTAAGTTGATACATATCAAGACCAAATTACAAAGAGCATTCACTATCAGATCTGAGATACTTGTCTTTTGTTTGTCTGCTTATTTATTGCATGTGTTTTGTGTCCACCTTAAGCCTTTTCAAGCCATGCTTAGAGATAGAGTCAAAAAAGTCTGTTGTATGGCCACCAACCAATTACTTCATTCTCATCTTAGCAAAACAGAGGAAGTTAGTTGGTAGTCGCCTCAAAACCTGAGTGTACACAGAAAACTTCATCCCGCAGAGTCTGAGAAATACAGCCTGGTCCCGGAAAACTTCAGAACTGCATCCTCAGTGCTGTTGCACTGCTTCACTCAACAGTCTTCATGGGCAGATCCAGCGCCTGGGAAGTGGAACTCCAGTGGCTGCTGCGAAGAACGAACAGCCTTGTCACTGACTAAGGCTGCTACGAACATCCGCCTGCCCCACTGCTGTGGTGACGTGGACCAGACCCACAGCGCTTGAGCATCTTCAGATCCACCCAGGCTCCAGTTTGACACCATCGGGAAGGGTTCCTTCTCAACTTCTTGACTCAAAAGTAAAATAGCAGGCTCTCTTATATGTACTCAAGTTTTGATGCTGTTTGATTTAATAGGTTTAGACACCTTTTATAGATAAACATACATACATACATCATACATAAAGACATTACTAAATTATCATCACTACATGTTCTCTGTTGTGAAAATCCAGGGCTGTTTCTCAAAATTCATTGTGTGTTCTTGCATTCTTCTGTTCTTGCTCGACGTCATCTTCCGCTGCCCAATTTGCATTCCAATATTCAAGTCAAGTCAAGTCAAAGTATATTTATATATTGCTTTTTACAACAGGTGTTGTCACAAAGCAGCTTTACAGAAGAATCTGGCTCCAAGCCCCGATGAGCAAGCCAATGGCGACAGTGGCAAGGAAAAACTCCAAGAGCAAGAGGAAAAAACCTTGAGAGGAATCAAGACTCAAAAGGGGAACCCATCCTCCTCTGGTTGACACCGGATAGCAAACAGCGTTAGTGTAAAAAATTCAATATTCAATAACAAAAGTACCAAGAATGGTGAAAGACCTGGTTGTGTTCTTGATCTGCCCCAATAGACCATTCTGACAGTGTGACATTTGATTATACAGAAGTCTAAATAGTAGCATTAAATGACTTCCAGTCATGTTGTATACAATGAATGAGACTACAGGCCTGAATAATTACTGTGTTTCTTTAATGCACCAACCAATAATTCAACCAGAAAGCTTTACCTGTGGAATCATTGATAAAGTTAAGTTTCTCACTCATATATGCAACTTTGGACTCAAAATTAAAAATTCAAAAATTCAATTTATTATTTAAATTTGCTATCTGGTAAACATGTATTGACGTCTCATTTACACAAAGATTTAGACACTTTCCAAGTATTTTTATTTAAATAAAAATGTACCTTATTTGTGTGGCGGCCCCGTTATTGTATACCAGATTACGCCACCCCTTGGTTTATACTTAGAGCAAAGGGGAGCTCTGACCGTAGTAACTTCACAAATGCAGGTTCAGGAAAATACAAAAATACAATCTTTATTAAAGGAAGCTGAGGTCATACACTGACTGTCAGTTCAGTTTATAAAACAGAAAAATAAAAACAACCAGTACTAAAAATATTCACAGTACTACGGGGATTACTCAAGCCTTGGCCTGTTGGGACACTAACGGAAGATTATTCTCTCAGTGACACACGTGAAACGTGAGGAAAAAACACCATTCCAGCCATACATGCTAATCACTCCAAATGCACGGCACTGCAAATGTCTACCATTCTAGTGAACACAGCAATCCATCCCCAAACATTCCTCCGTCCCAAACTCCCTGGATTAAACTTAACCCCACGTAGACGGCAATATAACTAAGGGAAAAATAATAGTAATAAAAAAAAAAAAGTAACTAAAAGAATTTGCACTCCCTCTAGCCAGTGGCTCACAATACACCAAATGCCCGTTTGCACACACAATATGGCCACAGGCTAGAGGGCAGCTTAGGCAATAAAATACTTTCGTTAAAAGTTAGAGCAGCATCACAACTGAAACTCAATAATAAAACAAACAATAAAAGTGGTAAGAGAACAGCAGCTGGCACAGGACATACGCTGTAATCAATCTATAAGATACACAAGAAAAGACACAGGGCATTGTTGACATTCATCCCTCGTAAGGCATATACAGAGGAACAACTTAGTATAAGAGTAACTTGACAGCCTGGCTCAAAAACACGGACTCAAGTCTAACATAGATGATTGCACTGCAAGACACATCTAATAGCAGCAGTAATGCAACAGCTAAAAGCTACACTCAAATGCTTCATAAAAACAGCCATGTTACTGAGCCAAATGCTAATAACAGAAATAGAACATTCTGCATGATACAAAATCAAAACATACCTGGGGTACTAAGGCCAATGATGTAAACTGGACGCTACAGTTGGTGCTGACTTTGCTCCAAATTCACCATGCTATTTGGCTAGGTACACAAACAGAACATCATGTTACTGGTCATAGCTAAGCCAACAGAAACCACAGTAATCAGGCGGGGGGCACGGCAGCATACCTTATTGCACACTAAATGAACTAAAACCTGCACCGCTGCTGCTGTCGCCACTCGCACCGGCTTAGCTCCAAGTGGCTAAAGCTAACAGGACCCAAGCTTCAGCTGCGCCCGTCCACCAGTGCCTCGACACTTGACGAGAAGAAACCTACTTTAAAACTAATATTGGTGGGAAAATATGTTCTCGAGCTCAAAGTGCGTCATTGCTGTCTTTCATGGTGGGCGTTATGGTGAAGAGGTGTTTCTCTCCTGTTCTTCTCAACAAAAGACTGTCAGTACCAGACCTGAAGGCTCAGTGTGGGTATCACAAGAAGGTAAAGAGGTTCGATATTGTATGGAAGTGTTTAACTGTCGCCACGTTTACTTTGGTTAATATGTTAAGCTGGATCCAGGTTGCTGTGTCATCATGATTTGTCTGGACTGAAAGTGAAGTTTCATGTTTTGTTCCATGTCCTAAAGAATACTTATTTGGCAGAAATAAATCAGCACATTAAATTACAATAGAAAAACTTTTTTAAAAGTTTCAAGACAGTTTTTCTTTTCAATTACTATAAGTACTACATTTACATTTATATTTACATTTACAGCATTTATCAGACTCTCTTATCCAGAGCGACTTACAAAAAATGCTTTGTTGTCTACGTAAAGTATTTTTGCTAATTACAAATAGGTTAGAGAGAAAGCTAGTCCTGAGCTCAGATATTGCTAGAAACAAAAGCCCATGTTGATACCTAGAGAAAAAGGAACAGAATTAAACACAGTGCAGTGCAAACATTTCAATAAGTGCAGTACAATACATTACACTAAATACTTAACTCAGTGCTCACTTAAGTGCTGTAAAAACTAGTTGTTACTATAATAGTTGTTATAATAACTATAAGCCAACATAACATTTCAAAAATAGCATTACTACACAGTAGGCAAAGCTTGGCCCGTAGTTAATACAGCTCTAACTGAGATTAGGGTCGATACCTGTCTTAAAATTAATCCTTTAATGAAATCATTGTTTTGAAGGACTTCTTAGGATTTGTACTTAGTGTATTCGTTTGTCTCTTAAGTGATGCATGTACAGCCTCCATTGGTATTAATTTTGAATATAAGACATAGACCTTAATCCCTTTCTCAACACATTCTTCACATGCTTCTGTAGATTGTCACACTTCAGTCCCCTAAGAGTACAATGGGCCTCATTCTCCAATATCTTCTGAATCTTTTTTTTGTCATTTGTTCTTGAGAAAGGGCCTAAGAAAAAATCTACATCAGATTCATGAAGTATTCTTAAACCACAGAATTCTTCACAATTTTGTGGTCTTGAGTGTGCTTAGATTCACATCCCAAAAAAGAAAACATTGGTGGATGTCAGAATCATTGTGAAAACTGCATAAGTGGGTTTTAAGAAGAAATTTCTCCTTAAGAATGGTTGGTGAATGAGGCCCAATCTTCTTAACATTTTGAAAATCACTAAACACAAATAGCTTCAGTTCTTGTTGGGTGAGAAAGTAAAGGAGACTGAACCGCAAACGCAGACAGTGCTGCCCTGTCACGTTTATTTTAATTTCTGTTACATAACCATGAGCTCCTCTAGACTGAATTAAGCACGACTTCACCCATGTGACATATGTACCCCATATCCATCTGTTTCGGCTTCTGAAGGTGGTGACCATTATGAGAACCCAAGGAATGTTGGATCTTTGGACAAAAATGCTAAAAATGTGGGCACAGGGCTGGTGGGCGCACCTGTGTGTGGAGATGTAATGAAACTCCAAGTATGTTTATTTTTGGTCCTATCCAGTACGCTTTTTTCTTTTATAATTCCCCGAACGGCTTTACCTATGGTCAGTCATATTGTGTTGGCATTCTTAGATTAAGCCTAATCCAGGTCTTATACCGGAAAACCAAATTCTACATTTAGCTAATGGAGCAGACAATCATGACAACAAATGATATTTTCTCTCATGATACTGTGGTTCGGCAGATTCAGGTGGATGAAGCCAGGAAAGTTGTGGAAGCCAGGTTCAAGACGTTTGGCTGTGGCTCGGCCATCGCATCCAGTTCTTTGGCCACAGAGTGGGTAAAGGGTAAATCTGTAAGCAAAACAGAGTGACCACATCTGTCCTTTGGTGTTAGTGTTTCTTCTTTTTTTTTTTTAAATAAAAAGAAATGTTTTGCAGATTGATGAAGCCTCAAAGATGAGGAACACTGAAATCGCTTCTTCCAGTGAAATTTCACTGCTCAGGTAAGGTTTTATTCTCACTGCATAAGATATTCTTAGACACTTGTTATTTTGTAACTCTATGGTTTGAGGCAAGTGAGGCTCACATTTGTCATGATGCTAATAAGTAACTTTAAGCTTCAAAGGTTTCTTAGCTACATCAGCTTTGTAGCTCCAGTAGCTCTTGGGACATTTGGGGTAAGGAAGGAAACTCTGACCCATCACTTTCACAATTATCTGTTAATTCATGCTAGTCTGTTTTTTCTTTTGCTTTAACGTCAAATGTGGATATAGTCATGCAAACTGAAATGCGTTTTTATAACAAAATGTATGATCATTAATGCTGAATAACAAGATCATAATGATGCACTATGAAAATACCTACTGTGTTACTTAACGGAATGTTTTTTCTTGTTCTATCTAGTGTTGGCTGAGGATACCATTAAGGCACCTTTAGCTAATTATCATCTGAAGCAAGTGGAGGTGGGTGATAAGGCCATGATAGCCAGCAACTAGGGGTCCCAACATCCCTTCCCTCCTGTAGTGTGGACCAAGCCTTCACCAGCCCTTTTACTGTAGCCTGTTTTATGAATGCAAAATTTAAAAACACTGAGAAGTGTTTCAGACTCCATACTGAAAATGTTAAAATATGCAGATAAATGACACATTGAAAAATAACAAAAACCTAAAATCTTTGTCAAACAACTCCTTTTACATGCACTCAGTATGAATGGCAGAAAGATGCACTGATTTTTGCAAGTTCTTGATAGGTTTTATGTAATCACCATTAAAACTTTCTTACAGTAGTAACGAAATAAACCTGTAAACAGTCAGGTGATTTTTGCTCAGTATCTAAAACATTTGCATGTTTCTGTATTTATTATTTTTTTTATTTTTCTTGTATTTCTCCTTAAAAGTCCACTTACAGTATTTGTATGGGTTACTTTTCTAAATACAGTTATGATTAATTTTTATAGGCTGTTTGAGACTTGTGTAAGTTGTGTAACATATAAATGATCTCCGTTATGACTGGTGGCCATTTATTATGCCTTATTCATAAAGCAAACTAGGCTGAAATAAACATTTTAATTTCCATTGGAATGTGTGGACTAAATAGGACAAATCAGCGCTACGTCACAGCAACCAAGAACTTACTTCCAGGTTGATAACGATGGTAGCACTGCACTGATACTGATGAGAATTATTTAACCAACATACTGAAAAAAAAATAGAACTTTGTAAGTGATCTTGTCATAAAACACCAAAGACTGAGACATGTACTTCTACATATTCGTTATTAAATATTGGTAAACCATATGCTCCTATGTTATTTAACCAACATACCTTGTTGTTGATATTGGCAAAGCTGTGTACTACTAAAGCTGTTCTGGTGCCATTAAATTATATTTTAAACTGATCTTCCCATTCTGATAAATTCAAGATTAACTGGACTGTGTGGGTTTTTTGTCATTTATTCATGAGCATGCACCAGCCATTAATTTTAAGTGCAGTGTTTAATGAAAAAAAAGTAACTTTATAATTATAGTTTTAAATTTTATCCACTATGATTTTGCTAGTAGCTGTTACATTAGCACCTTGCATTCGCTTGGGTTCATTTTACTTTCAGCAGCTCTACCAGTTTTTGAAAGCTGGAAAACAGGAAAAACTTAAACCTGAACTAGAATGTTCTTGAATATATGTGTTACCTTGTTCTCTGATCCTGTTTCCTAGCCATAGATGGGGATGAGGGGAACTTGAAGCAAGGTGGCATTCCTAAGCACAGTGGCATTTATTTGTGAACTGAAATTAAACTTAACCTAAAATAAGGAGAATTGGGTGAGCTCTGGAGTTGATACAGCAGAAAGCAAAAGGAGGTTTTCCCACCAGACTTTGTCATGCACTTTCTTTGACTACCTCTTTCTCAGCTGTAGCAGAAAACAATATTTTACCATTATTGACCATATTTTGGTTCAGTCTGTTAAAATGAGCTAAGCTACTTAAAATGAGCTGCTTTTACCACTGAACGGATACGTTATCCACCTGGAAGTATAGCTACCCTTTATGCTTACAAACATTCTGATTTGGTCTGTAAATGTAAATGTGCTGTTTTTGTGACGTCACAAAATTCAGCATGGGCTGTTTTGCAGAACAGTTTCCGTATGTTCACTGGGGAATGAATAGCATGTCTTGAAACATTAAAGCAGATGTTTCTAAATTTTGACAGTTATTCAGAGTAGATTGGTGTGAAATTAGCCATTCTACAAAAATTTACTGAGTTCATAATTGTTCATAATGATGGTGATAGTAACCAGATGTACGAAGCGGTTAAGGCCTCTAAAAGCTACCTTCCAGAAAGTTTTTCTACAAAATGCTTATAAATATGTTGCCTGCCACACTGTTTAATGTTAGTTTTATGACAAGGTTTTGGCCCAATATATAGTTTTAAAATACATGCAGGGCACTGTAAAGAAAAATACAAAGACAATTTGGTTTTCCGTGAAATGGATCCTTAAATTGTCGTTTCATTAGCAGATGTAAAGGACAATGTTAATTTCTTTCATTTTCATTTTTACTTTCATTTGCAAGTAAATTAGATTAAGGTTGGACAGTGCTTTCATAACATGGTTTGTTTCTATCAGTTGTCTTGAAGTGAAGTTTAAAAACATCTGCTGGATGTTGGAAGTCATTAGCAAAAATGTATATCAATCACTTTTCTGATTAGAAATAGAATCCAAAGTTCTATTCAGACAGGTAGTCAAATATAATTTACTTTGCACTTTGTGATTTATTTATCTGGTATTCAATCTGGCTCAATCTTTTCACTAACACAGACACTGTATTAAAACTTTTAAAGTAAATAAGCTGACTTAATCACTATGTAACCATGTGTATGACAAAAGTCATAAGATGGCTTCAAAACAGATGATGGCTTGCAAGCATTTTTATACCATCTTCATCAGTCAGACTCTAAAGAACACATTTTAATCGAAAATTCTAGGACAAAAACAGACAAAAGTGTGTGAGAAGCTTGTATTGGGACTTCAGGTCCTGCAGAAGAGTCCACATTGAGAAAAAAAAAATTAGAGCCAGTACATATAAATACCTGACTCACTGTGAGGCTATTCCAGGCTGGGACACATCTCCTTAATTGGGTAGTGAGAGAACTTGTTTGCATTTCCCACTAGGACTGAGGCAGTCTTTCTGTTATTGTTTATAAGATGCTGAGACACTGTTAGACACTGTTAAGCAGTTAGCAGTGGGACAGTGGCATAACTACTGGCATAGAGAGAGGGCCAGTTACCCTAGGGCCCATACTGTAGGAGGGACTCTGTGCAGGCCAGTCAAGTTCTTCCACACCAAACTCACTCATCCATGTCTTTATGGACCTTGCTTTGTGCACTGGTGCGCAGTCATGCTGGAACAGGAAGGGGCCATCCCCAAACTGTTCCCACAAAGTCGGGAGCATGAAATTGTCCAAAATCTCTTGGTATGCTGAAGCATTAAGAGTTCCTTTCACTGGAACTAAGGGGCCAAGCCCAACTCCTGAAAAACAACCCCACATCATAATCCCCCCTCCACCAAACTTTACACTTGGCACAATGCAGTCAGACAAGTATCCTGCAGTACCGCAACAAGTTAACAAACATCGTAAACGCTTTTGATTTCCAAAAAAACAAGGGAAAATTTTCCATGATATAGGCCCTCAACTGATTTCTACAAATTTTTAAAAATTTGTTTTAAGTAATTTTAATAAGTGAGATTATATCACTATACTGGCCGATAATTTTGCTTATTTTAAAAAATATGTTTGAAACATGCAAAATGACCTGCCAATACGGTAAGATAATTTCACTTAAGGAAATGACTAAAGTAATAAATAATTTAAATGTGTATGATTATAACAACAAGCATCACAAATGACAACCTTTGGCTAGTGCAAAGACCGCCCCTGTTTCTATGGCTTGTCTATATGAAATGATTTTCTTATAGTGCTGAATTTAATGTACGTGATTCAAATGCATACTCAAATACATATTCCCATGAATGACTAAAGTATGTTACATCAACACATTTTATTTTTCAGTTTACTTTCAGCAACAGTTGTATTGCTGTGATAGTTTTATTCATGTGGAAATGATGGACAGATTTAATTATGTACAGAGTACCACTTATCCTCCTGGGTCACAGCGGGTGCTGGAGCCTATCCCAGTGTTCATTGCTAACAGGTGCATAAAATTAAGCACAAAAACTAGCAGTAGAATGAGTCGTACTTATAAGCTCAGTGACTTTAAAAGTGGGACTGTCATAGGATGCCACCTCTGCCACAAGTCAGTTTGTAAAATTTCTGTCCTGCCAGATCTGCCCCTGTCAACTCTAAGTGCTATTATTGTGAAATGGAAGCACCTAGGAGCAACAACAGCTTAGCTACGAAGCAGTAGACCATGCAAATTCACAGAGTGTGCTGAAGTGCACAGTGCTTTTCCTCTGTTGAATCACTCACTAATGATTTCCAAATTGCTTTTGAAAGCAACAACAGTGAAAGAACTGCACATCAGGAGCTTCACAAAATGGGTTTCCATGCCCACGCAGCTACACACAAGCCTGCACAATGCAGGAGGTGGGGGAACCCAGCAGTGGAAACACATTCTGTGGAGTGTTGAATCACACTTCTCTATCTGGCAGTCTGATGGACGAGTCTGGGTTTGTTGAATGCCAGGAGAACATTACCTACCTGACTGCATTGCGCCAAGTGTAAAGTTTGGTGGAGGAGGGATAATGCTATGGGTTATTTTTTCAGGGGTTGGCCTAGGCCCCTTAGTTCCAGTGAAGTTAAATCTTAATGCTTCAGTTTACCAAGAGATTTTGGACAATTGTATGCTACCAACTTTACTCATGTGGGCGTAATGTGTAGGTGTCCCAATACTTTTGTCCATTTTGTGTATGTGCGTGTATATCTGGTGCAGAATTCAGATATTGAAAATGCAGCAAGAAATCTTCCTAGCTGTATTTCAAGGCATAGCAGCCCACAGCCAGCTGGGAACATAGACAGAGCTGGTTTTGCCTGAGTAAGCCAATGGTAACTTGATGGATTGAGGCAAGTGGTTTCCCTGGGGTCAGCCAGCCAATTAGAACAAACATAGTTCAACTAGTGATGCAAAAGTAAGTATATAATCACACAAATGGGATTTTTCAGTGCTTTTGATACAAAAAAAATCATCTCAGTAAAACCTAGTACCAGTAGTTACAGAAGGGATTTAAAAAAGTTACTGAAAATACGTAACACCATGTCAACAACACTCAAAAAAATTACTCTTTGAATGTACTTAATTTTTTTCGTCAAAGTGTTGCACGAAATTATCTACATTCAGAGATATAATTTGAGTAACATTTACTTATTACCTATAAGTAATGTCAACTATATTTTGCAGGTTTTACTTCAGTAGTGAATTAGCAAATTATGTAATTGTTATATAATATAAACTTTTTTAGTTACAACTCAAATTTGAAGCCTTTCT